ATTATCTACATTTCATTATCAGTTTCCTGAACTTAAGTTTTTTACTATCCCGATTTTTGATTTTTGATAATTGATTAATGATTTGCGATTTTGAATTTCTGATTTATGGTTTGTGATTCTTTTTTAAAGATAATCTTAAAAAGAAATTTCTAGTGTCTAGCAACAAGTTTATATTGAGATATTACAGTTGTTGAAATTAGTATTATTGCATTATTATATGATGAAAATATTATAATATACATCAGAAAGCTATTTTACCATGTTATTTGACCTAGTAGCAGAGAATAGAATTTGGTTTTGTTCCTCAACAAGGCAATTAACACAATTGCATATTTCTTATCTGAACTTTGTTCCAAGTACTTGCATTTTCTTATCGCGCATTTACATTCAGCCAAATGATAAGTTAAACAATTGAAAATGAACTAGGCGTTGGGCGTGCTCGACTAGAAGCTAGTCGGTAATTACTGTTAAATTCTATTTGTTATTGTCTCATAAACTTTTTACTCTTTAAGGAATTAAGACTTTAAAGAGATTTGTATCTATATACATTAGGTATATGTACAATACCGTAAATGACTTGTGCCGTCTTCTGACTTACATGATTATACTATACCCTATAATAGCAAACCCCTAATGACATTGTAATTCACTTTTATTGTGTGTATATAGTAAAAAATTCAATTGTGAAGTGTTTTAGTAACTAAAAAACAATACAAACAAAACACAATACTAAATATATAGATTAGAAGTTAGATTAACTGCATTCTTAAACAAATATATATATGTATATGTATATATAACTGTGCAAGACTCCTTATTTTTCTTAACTTATGGCAAAAAGGCATAAAAAATAGTTGAAAGCCTGCTTGTGTAAAAGGACATTTTGTGTACAGTAAATATCACCAATGGAAGAGAACAATACATAAGAAGTGTTAGCATTATAAATAGCATTATAAATATGCAAAACAGAATCACATAAAAATTGGAGAGCTTTAGATAACAAATTTAGAGGGGACAGATTCGTGCTGATATAAAAAGAAAATCTATAACAATATTTGTACGATTATTCGTTAGAGTAGATCCTGTTCCAATCATCTTCGCCTTTAAACTCAGTTTTATCCCACTCTAGTTTGCTGTTTAATTTGATTACCCAATCACAGAATTGGCCATCTTTGAGATTAACGAAATCGGCAAGGAAAACATTTACGCGCGGCTTTTGGCCGTTGTCAAAGGGTCCTGGCAACTGTTCCACTATCCACGGCTTCAATTTACGATCCACCCGCTTCGCTGTGCGTTTCAGGGTGAAGAGTAATCGCAGCGCTATATAGCGACCCGTGGGCGTGATCAGACACTGGGAAACGTAGCCCTGATGGGGCTGGCGAGAGAGCAGCGAGTCAGCAAGAAAGGATTGCAGCTTCTTAATGCTGGCCGTATTGGGCCACGGTGTGGGCCACGCATAGCTGGGCCAGAACTGGACAGGCAGACCGATTGGACAGCGACGACAGATGAGTACCACTTGGCGCTGCAGTTCGGCGCAGCGCGTCAAGGAGCATTCGAGCAGCGGACCATCCGTTGTGGCATACAAACGTTGATCGAAGAACTGTACCAGCTCCTTGTGCAGCTGCTGATGATGAGGGATGGTCATATCATAGAAATGTTGTAAGTCCAACACAACGACTTCTTCGGGATGTGTGTCCAGGAATTGACGCAACTCCTGCAGGGGCTCGAACACTTCCATAGCAAAGACACCGTGACAGTAATAGAATTTGCCTTCATGTTGTGCTATACGCAAGTCGAAGTAACGCACACCCAGATTAAGTTGCTCCAAAATGTTCGAAGATTGGTTTTTCGACCAACGGCGAACAAAGCATGGGAAAACGCGATGCCAACGACGTATTGCAGTGTCCGCATCCGGTGCTAGCTTTGAGTCGCTATTAATACCATAGGTCATCGTATTATGGGAACCTACGACGGAATTGCTTCAATGTTAATTAGTCGAATGAGACGTTGTATAGGCTTAGATGATCTCATGTACCTGGTATGGCTAAATTGATAATTGATAGATCGCGTAACTCTGGCGACAAATCGCGCATCCAGTGCTCCTGGGACATCTTTGCAGCTGAAGGTGAATTTTGTGCTTTTATGGCGATGTTTAAAATTCAATTAAGCAGTGAACGTTCCGTTTGGGTCATAAACAGCGGTAATTTCATGCATGTGCTAAAAGTACTTGTGAAGGGATTGAGGTATCGATTCACTTGGCTTCATGCAATAGTCAACTATCGATATTTGTGTTGGCGCTTGAATTTCAACATACCGATTAATTTTAAAAATTTATGTTAAATGCTATGAAAAATACATACACATTGTCTATTAAGTTAATTTTAAATTTGGATTATCATGAAATTTACTATAAAACGTTCTATGTTTCCCGTAATAAGAGTTTATTACAAATAAGCATTTTGATTAGACGATTTACATGACACATGCACTAAAACTAATTTATATTTTCCTTGTTCTCCCCATCCAGCTCCTCCAATAGAAGATTTTGATGGGTGCGCTTGGCCAGCAGCTGCTCCGTTTCATTGAAAGCCCGAATATTACGAAGACAATTGTTGAATGTACAATTGCCAAGCCAATTGCTCTCATTGTAGCTGCAAAATAAATCGGAATTAAGGATTATCAAAATATTTCAAATTCATTTGAATTCAAGAAAAGCTCACCGCTGCAGCTCACTAAAATGTTTGATGGCCAAGGATTTTTCACTGCTATTGGGCAGAGGAATGCCATCTGCCAAAATGCCCAGATTACAGGTATGAAAATTGCAATTGTGTCCGAGCAGCTCCAGCTTGGCCGATTGATCCAGCAATTCCAAGCCGGTGTTGCACTTCCTGATCTTCACATTGTTAAGTTTGGCGCTGGTCTCGGCACGCATTGAAATGCCAATGGCAAAGTTCTCCAGCAAGCAATCCTGCAGATTAAGACTAGCTTCTGGCATGCAGACAATGGCCTCCTGTGTGCTGGAGCGGCCGTCGCCCAACAATCGGCAGCTGCGCAACGTCAACGTGCCATTGCGCAGCAGAATGCCACGGCGCACATGCCGGCAGTCCAGTACTAGCTGGGCGAGAGTGTAGTCGCCATCGATAACTAACAAAGTACTGTCCTCATCGCTCGAACAGATCAAAGGCAGCTTGTCTAGATCATGCTTTGATCCGATTACGGACTCCGCCTCGACGAGACCCTGAATACTTCCATTATCATTGAGATGCTCCAGGAATTTTATGGTGTGGTGGCCGGGTGATATGAATATGTCTTCGTTGGCCTGTGAAATGCTGAGCACATCCTAGAATTAAGTGAAATTATTAAGTTATAAATAATAAGAATTAAGCATAGTTACCGCACCTGCAATGTATTGCCCAGTTGCACTTTTATATCCGGCTTCACGCGCTGCTCGGCCAGCTTTAGTAGGGCAATCTGTGTTTGCAGCTCACACGGCACTGTGACCACGTGACACATTTGCTTATGATCCACTTGCTCGTCCAGCTGACTCAGACGCCCTGGACTGCGCTGCAGCAGATGGCGCTTTAGGCCATTGCTTTGCAGTTCACTATAGGCGCGACGCATTTCCGGATTTTCAAGAATCTCGAATTCGCTGCGAATGATGGCCAGGCGCAGATGAAGGCACATCAGATCCGTCACTGGCAACATAGATTTATTCAAATTATTCGATTTGGGACTGCCGCCCGTTTTGGGTTGTTTTCGGGGTGGATCTGTGGTATTGTCATTCAACTCGACGGCCTCATCGTCGCTCTCGGCTTCGGCATCGCTCATGTCCAGCTCCAGGTATTCCAGACGCTGTTGTATATAGCGCGCCTCCATTAGCAGCGTGCGCATATGCAAAGCCAGTGGGCGTGGCAAGCGATTCTTGCTCAAATCGCAAGCCAGCTGTATGCGTGCCTGCAAATGCATTTGCACCCAATCACGATCATCATCATAGTCCTTGTCCCATGGCATCCACACATGTGAATAGAAGAAACGCAATCGATCTATGCACTCGGCCGTGGTGTCCACATTCAGTGCCGAATTCTCCTGCTGTAATGTAGGCCACAGTTCAATCAGGGAGACTTCATTGCTCTCCGGCAAATGCACATCCTGATCCTGTACGGCAGTCACCGTAAATACGGCCTTGAGTTCGTCGAAAATTACCTGCTCCACGTACCCAAACACAATGGTGGGATAGCGCAGCTTCAAGTCCTCGCAAATGACGCGCGGTATTTTCCACATAGCCTGCCAGCCTGCATGTGTATGTGTGTTAATGTGAGTACGCTCTGCGCATGTGTGTGTGCGCTACTTACCTGCTGGCTCAATTTGCAGCTCGACGTAGGACTTCCATTCTGAGCGTACTTGAGAGGCGGGCATTGGCGCGTTATCCCATGATAGTACAGCTTTCGCTTCCTTTAGGCGCTCCAAAAATGATTTTTCGTATGTATAGACATCCATTTTGGGTTGTTTGTTGAAGCAACAAGCGTTTAAATTTGAATGTAGGTACGAGAGAAGCTGCGCCTGCCTCGGCAAATACAAAGTTGCTATTACTTTAGTTATCGATAATAATTATAATGAGTGACGGAGCAGTCAGCTAGCTAGAGTGTATCAAAAAAGTACTTCCAGCATCGATACTTGCCACCGTAAATTGTTTTCAGTGAATTCTATAAACAAAACTAATAATATGGCTGCGAATACAACAGTAGACGAGCATTTCGAAGGCGCCGATGTAAATATTGTTTAATATCCACATAAACACAGTAATGCATTTATTAACATTGCAGTTCGACGAGGATGCTGACGATGAGCAAATGGTCTCCACCAACTCGGGCCGCAAGCGTCTTTTCAGTAAGGAACTGCGCTGCATGATGTTTGGCTTTGGCGACGATAAGAATCCTTATACAGAGACAGTTGATCTACTGGAGGATCTGGTTATTGAATATATTGCCGAGACCACACATCGTGCCATGGAAATTGGCCGAACGGGCCGTGTGCAGGTGGAGGACATTATATTTCTCGTACGTAAGGATCAACGTAAATATGCCAGAGTCAAGGATCTGCTAACAATGAACGAGGAGCTGAAGAAGGCGCGCAAGGCTTTCGATGAGATTAAGTATGTGGGTAAGTATCTGAAATATATTTGTCTATTCATTGGAGCAAGTTTCTAAATATTATTTGTTTCTATCCAGGCACCGAAGGCAAGCTTAAATGACACAGCCCAAAGAAACCAAACTCAACTTAGCATTAAGCTAAAACTTAAGTTTATTTGTAAAACTTTTCAATTAATCAAAGTAGTCTTCAATGTCAATGTCTGGATTTAGTATATCATCGCCATAGGGTGTCAGATCGGTGCCGTTTAAGATCAGGTTCTCGCATGTCTCTGCCAGATCCGTGTCCCCAATCAAAATGGCGCCGCGTAGTCGTCCCTGTTGCAACACGAATTTAATGTACTCCTTATTGCGTGTGCAGCGCACCAGTAACTCGTAGTCGCGACCCAGATCCTGGCCATTGAAGCGCCCGAGCAGTACAACAGGAAAGCCAAATAGTTGCGTCACATGTCCGAAGAGCTCGAAGCAGAAGTCCTGATAGACAGTTTCTCCTTCGTGCACGGCTGCCATACTGCGGCCAGCCATGGCACCCATTTGGCGGGCCTGTGTCCACAGACGCATCTGGAACCAGTGCGCGCCATTAGGCCAGCCAGCCGTGCAGACATCCCCGGCGGCATAAACGTCACACAGATTCGTGCGCATCATTTCATCCACTTTAATGCCGCCATCCGCAGCCAAATGGAAAGGCTTATCTGTCTCATAGTCGTGTCTGGGCTGCACCCCCGTTGCAGAGACAATGAAATCACAGCTGAGATGCTCCACACTGCCATCATTGTGCTTAAGAGTGACAGATAAAGCTGTGTCAGCTGGGGACTGCTCCACGCGCTCTATCTGTGAATTATAATAAATCTTCGGCATAGCTCGACTGGCTGAATCTGCGCAGCCTCCGCCTAAATCGAAACTGCGATGCCAGTCGGGTCCCAAGGCGGCGCCACGTTTACTTCGTTGCTGCTCTTCCTCCTGCTCAGCTGTGGGCAGCAATTCGCTATAACGCATTCGCTTGATAGCCGTAGTGGGCTTTGTCGTTGCTGTCTGATCCGGCTCTCGCTTGGCCAGCTGAAAGAACTCAGCTGCGCCGGGATCCACAAAGGTAGCCGAGATGTGAGCGTCCTTGATAACCCAGTGAACGTTCACGTCGTGCAGCTCATGTGCCAATTCGCTGGCAATCCCTCCGTTGCCCAAAATGAGCACATCCTTGGCGCTGGCCAGTCGACGCTGCAGCTCCAGCACCGAATCCGTGTCCCGTAAGCCAATTATGCGTGCGTTGAGCTCCTCTTCCCCGGCACTAAACACTTTAGCTGCACCACCTGTGCACAGGCAGAGATGGCGATAGTTGATTACCAGCCCTGTTCTGGTGCGCGCCCAATGCTCGCCGCTGTTGATGTATGCCAACTGGTCCACTATCGTCCCAATGCCGGCGCGCAAATCACTCACGTTTTGCTCCCGTACATCGAACTTGTGCAGATAGCGTGCAACGGGTACTAGATTAGTCACGCTCTTCACCACGCTCGATTCGGTCAGCAACAGAATCGTTTCATCTGGACAACAAATGGTTAGGGTTTCGGCACAAGAGACGCCGGCAATGCCGCCGCCAACGACTAGGAATGTGCAATTACGAGACATTTGTGAAACTAACAAATGCCAACTACATACTTATTTACTTATTTTAGAAACACAATCAGCTGTTGCAAAAGCTGATGAAATTCTGAAACCTAATCAGCTGTTCTAGTTTTTTTGCATTGACAATACATATACAAATCGTGAACAGCTGATTGCCATATATACATACATATGTATGTATATAAATGAATCTCTGGCTTAGTATTAGTGCTTAAATGCAAGACAATTCAAATTGTAAATCAAAATCAGCTGTTCCAGCCACAGCTTTCCGCATTGCTAATACCACTGCTGAGGATTGTTGAGCTTGGAAATAAGTTAGATTGTGAATAAAAGAAGTCTTATACAGGCGATAATGGGAGAAAACAGACGAAAAGTAGCAAATCTATTTAACAAATTATTTCAGTGACCTTTTTGATTGCTTATCATAAAAATTCTTCAGAGTTATAAATTATAAATTTCGTATAAGTTTTTCTCTCTAGTATTCCCTCAAAGTATTATCCTCTAAGTGCTTCTCCACGTCTTATGAACGATCACACACTTCACGTCACCTTACTGCACTGCACTGACGTCCACCGGGCCTAAGAGACTGAAGAAATGCTGCAGCTACTGCCCTTTATATAGGGCGGCTTTCACTCAAAGCCTGATTGTCGCTCAAATGCTCAAATGCTTTACTGCACTGCACTGACGCCCACCGGGCCTAGGAGACTGAAGAAATGCTGCAGCTACTGCCCTTTATATAGGGCGACCTTTACTCAAAGCCTGAGTGTCGCTCAAATGCTTTACTGCACTGCACTGACGCCCACCGGGCCTAGGAGACTGAAGAAATGCTGCAGCTGCTGCCCTTTATATATGGCGACCTTTACTCAAAGCCTGAGTGTCGCTCAAATGCTCAAATGCTTTCCTGCACTGCACTGACCCCCACCGGGACTAGGCGACTGAAAAAATGCTGCGGCTGCTGCCGTTTATATAGGGCGACCCTCACTCAAAGCCTGAGTGCCGCTCAAATGCTCAGCCCGACGATACCAATGAGAACACTCTCTGCTGCTGCGAGCATTCTAGCTTACTTATATGCATACATATATGTAAATACCAAAGGAAGACTGCTGCAAGTAACGACTTTCATGATATTCTGTGCACCTTCAGGGAGGCAGGGAGAGAGATGCATGCTGTCTCAACATATGAACAGTTACGTACATACATACATATATAGGCAAACGAATCATAATCAGCTGTTACAACCTTAGCTTTCTCACGTTGCCAATTCATATGCAAAATCAAACCCAGCTGATTGCTGTGTAATCTCAAATGAAAGTTCTTTTTTTTATATATATATATATTTTAACAAAAATAAACTTTAATTATTTACTGTTTGGATTCCTCTTTTTTTTCATAGTACTCGCTGTAATCGTACTCTCGAAAAGGCACATCGTAGGTGATTAGACCACAATCGCGTGCCTGCTCCACGGCGACGGTCAGACGCAAATGACTCTTCTGGCAGAGACCCGTCTTGGAGTAGCTGAGCACTTGGCCGCTATATGGCGAGATGAACTGTTTCAGCAACTCCGTGTTGCGATAATCCAACACAAGGTACTCATCTCGACAGATGGGGCACGGATTTCCAGTGCTGATCCTTCCCTGGCGTATGCAGGTCTTGCGTGTCTTGCGCGGCGCATACATGCCCTTATGATTGCGACTGTTGGAATTAATTTAACTCTTAGAAAATGTAAAATTCATTCGTTCTGCTTTACGCACCGATATTGTGTCCACACAAAGTCGTCCCCATAAGTTGTTTTGTATGCAGCGCTCTTTAGATAGCGTATCGAGGTCTCCACCGGTATGACAGTTTTACGATCCTTTGGATCTGGAGCAGCATTTGCAGTATTTTCAGGAGTTTCTTCTCCATCTGCAGAGGTTTCAGTTTCAGCTGCCGGTTCGGTTTTGCAACGCAACGCACCGGCTGTGTGCAATGCCGCACGACTGTTGCGTGTTATTTGTGTCAAGGCGCTGTAAATGCCGCGTGCTAAAGGCAACATTTTTATTAATTATTTGCAATTTCTTTATTTGTTAACTAGAAATGCATGTGCGGCGACGTAACAACCAGCTGTTTATGATTTTTTGCTCTTAACAGTTCTAGATGGTCACACAATCGTATGGCTGACAAAAAGCTTGATGTTATGACAGCTCGCGTAAGTTAATCGATAACAAGCACTGCACGCAAACAATTTAATTTATTTAACAATTTTCTGTGCATTTAATCTCAAAATGTAAGGTGTATATTACTTATTGTCTTTGGCAAACATCAAAAACTTTCACACCACGATTGTCTGTGGCGTATAAAGTAACATCATTTAAGCGCAAGTAAATGCGCGCTCAAACGCACATAACGGTAAAATCAAGCCGATCACTCACTACACACACACATTCAAAAAGAGAGGGCATGAATGAAAAGCTGTCATTCGCTCAAATTTTATTTAGTTGCTGTCGGTATTTACTAGTGCGAAGTGGCCTGTGCAAATGCAGGCAGAGTCGCGGTCGCTGTCGGTTTCCGGGTCGCAGAGCTTATATGTGTGTGTGTGTGTGGTGTGCATTTGCGAGTTCACGCCTGTGACAACATAAAATCACGTGTATAAAGGCAGCATTTATTTACTTTTTACCCATAGTGGGGAGCCCTTGCTGACGTATGTAATTCTTGTAATTCATGGCGTGCGTCCTTCTGTAATAGTGTGTGTGTTAGTGCTGTGTGCGTGTTTTTGTTGCTCTGCATGCATAAAATGTATTGTGGACTCTATTTTAATCAATATATATTTCTAGATGGTTCATTTAAATTTAATTGCTTTAAGTAAAACCCACACACATGGCAGTGCTCTGCTGTGCGTTATTCCTTACAGGTGCCTTTCCCGCTAACAGCAGCCACAACACAATAGCAACTGCGACAATAAGAACGGTTTGAGTTTGTCGCTATTTGCCGCCCGCTGTCGACGACGCCAACAAAAAGCAACACACACTCGCACAGAAGGTGAGTCAAAAGCTCGAAACGTTACTGTATGCATGAGTGTATGTGTGGGTATGCTTGTATGCGTGAGAGCGTTTGTCTAGCGTTGTTTTAATGCTTTTTATAAATAGTTACGCGAGTGCAGAGTATGCAAAAGCAAAGCCATCAACATTTCTTATCAATTGCGAACAGCTAACAATAAAAACTATAAATACGATGAATCGCTGACTTTGAAAATAGGTAGGGAGAGGGGTACGCAAGTAGTTTTTGCCCTCAAAACACATAAAAACTTTCGAGTGACTTTTCGCGCATTTCGTGTAATAAATTGCGCTCCTTCGTTGCCACAACACACACACACACACACAGACAGCAAATCCCCGTAACATTGCTAAATTAGTACCTGTTGGCTGCGTGGCCCCTTTTATTTTTATTTTTTGCGCCTTACGACAACAAACAAGCCAAAAAGTGTGCCAGCCATTGAACAGCTATGTGAATACCCCGTTCTTTTTTCGATGGATGAGTACCTTTAATGAATGAGTAGTTCTATAATTGCAGTGAGAGAATGGGAATGCGTTTCTTTGAACTGAGTTCGATTGCTTATATGATATGTGCGGGCTGAACTTAGGTTGAACTTCGATTATTTAATTCAGATATTGTTTTTCTAGGTTAATTAAAAGATGATATTAATAAATTATCCACTTGTATATAAATTAACAGTAATGAAATATGAGTAAATTATTATTTGTTAAATTCATTGGCAAGTGAATACACCTTATATATAATAAATAGCGGAATGTCTTAGACGGCATAGGAGTTGTCGCGATTGACGCCGTAACTAACATTTCGCTGTCTAGCTTTTCATATTCACATTCCATGTTTAGCTCACCTTTTAGGTGGGTCGTCTCGCATTTATTTTCGAAATTTGAATCAACGTTTTTCTTTCCAATTTTCCCTTCTTTATTTTTGTTGTTGTTCGTATTTTTATTTTGCACGTCAAACGGAAATGTTTGGCCTTTGGTAGGGCGTTACAAGCCATCGGATTATGGGTTTCGTTTTCATGACCTTTGTGGGGGCGGTGCACATCGCGACTTTTGATAACCATTAGTATTGCTCTGACTCTGACTGTCAGTTCCTTTCACGTAATATTTCTTGTCAGTGTGGGCGGACGCTTCATCAATAGCCAATAGTTGCCAGTTTTAATTAATGCGTTTGCCGTTAACCAACCAACCACGATTTCCGACAATTTGACAGTTCCATAAGTGTAATTCGCTTGACATTTCCTGCTGTGAGGGCAATCATTAGCACAATACACTAACTGCTTATACTATATGTCTTGTATGTATGTACGGACGGTGATTGGGAATGGAAATTGTTTTGTCAATACAGAGCGCATTATGTGGCCCTACAACAATATAATATAGAAGTAAAATACTTGTATATGTGTCATTAACTGACCTCTGACCTAAACTCCAACTAATGCATAAATAATAGTCAACTACTTCAGTGAAAATCCCACAGTTAATGGGGTCTATGCGTGAAGAACCACGTTCGTTTCGAACCGTTAAATAATATTTATATCAGGGGGCGTTCGATGGCAATATGAAGTTATTTAGAATCGATAACGAAAGCAGGTTGTAGTTGATGAATCGTTGTTTATAGAATAGCGAGAGAAATTATACTAAGAAGCGAAGTGTTGAAAAATCAATTCCATCAATCTCTTGTTAGATTGGCAAATACTTAAACCACCCTCATAGGTCAGGCACTCAAAGTTTTTGTTTACATTTCTATATTGATTAGAAAGTGCTCTTCAGGTATTGATTTACTTAAAGTAGTTGTGTTTGTATGCAAAGAGTACACTTTGGCTACCTCTTAAAGTATTATCTTTGATAGTTGACTTAAAAAATCATTATGTGAATTTTTGTTTGAGTTAAACTGCATTGATGGGACTTTAATTGTGCCTTTGTAAGAAGCCTATGTAATAGTTGATCAGTGCTTCCTCAGGCCAGCCAATCGCAATGCTTAATCACACCAACACATGCGCACGCCCACACGTACGCACACACACACGGGCTGACACTCGCTCTCTCAAACACCTGTGGCAGTTGGCATATAAATGCACACTTACATATGTATATGCACATATATGTACATATATGGTTGCCTTTGTCTAACCCATGGTACTTGAAGTTAAATTTGAGCCTGGCTTAGGGTGAAGCAGAGTTGCAGAAGTAGTTGGTATTTAAATGCATATGTGACGGCGGTTAGATATAGTTGACTTTGTCTAATTGAATTTGATGTCGCTTTGAGCCAAGCCAACGTAAAGTAATAACAGAGCTAGGCGAGTTAATTATAGAACTTCCATTTATTATATGTGCTGACTATCGTTTATTAATAACTGTAAGTAATTTTCTCATTTTCAATAATTAATGTTGTTTGTGTATTCGTATATATCTGCCCTAACAATACAGCCACAGCTCAAGCATTTCGTGTTGAAATCCATTTGTCATTTCACAAAAAAAAATTCCACTGACCTCAGAGATAATTAAGAATGAAAATGGACTGCCAAAATATGTAGCTGTGCATATAATCCGTTAGCCTACCTCAAAATTCGAGTCTCACCACAATTTAAATACCAATTTGCCTAATTAAGATGACTTAAAGCAGCACCTACAAAGCCCGCCCCCTTCACACCCTTTATCAAGCTGACAGCTCACTCTGGGAGCGCGAATAAGTCCCAAAATATTGCGTGACATACAGTTGGCCGAGCGGCTAGGGCAAAAAGTCCGGAGTGCGCTGTCTGCTGACAATGCAAGCCACGTAAATGACATCAACATGTGCAGAGGTCAATCGTTGGTTGGGCTTGTGCTCCGTCACCTGTTCCTTCTGTTGGATTTTTATAAATTCACGAGCTCTATGCAACAGCGGCACATTTAAGAGCATTTAAATATTTAACGCCCACCCTACTTTGTGCTGATTGTTTCTTTTCCCAGCGAGCTCCTGAATAATGCACACTGGGAGCAGCTGACTTGTTTTTTCCGAGTCCTGGGAAACGATTTTCAATGTTGAGCTGTCAGTCAGGGCCAGTACCTGAAAGGAAACCGTCCTTGTTAATGCGAGTTCAATCTATATATTGCTTATTTTATATATATTTCTTTTATTTGCCTGCTAAATCAGACGATGACGGCCAAAAGTGATAAGGAAATACTGGAGAATTCCATGTACGAAGACGATCCCAATGGCAATTCAGCACCCACAGCACTTCATCCGCAGGAGGACAGGCAGACGACGTCAAATGAAGCATCAACAGCGAGCACCAGAACTACTACGGCAGCAGCAGTAGTGACCTCGCCACGTTGGGGCCCTCAAAACAAAGGTGCCCAGGAGCTGGCATCACTCTATAGTCCAGGTGAGATTAAGAGTCGTATAACATGTATGGATATACAATAGAATATATACATTAAAATTGTATATTTTGAAGCTAAAGTTCGAATAGATTTTATTACCGTATAATTTTTTGCAGAATATTTTGTATTTAGATGTGTATATTAATATACATATATTAAACGATAAAATATTTTAGTATCAAGATGATAATATTGGAGTACAACAAAAGCTTAATTTGTTTTTTTTTTTTTTTTTTTTGGCTACCGGCGCCATCAATCGTAAAAATAGATTAGCTGCTATCAATTTAATCAGTTTCAGTAACTGTATATCATTTTCGTAGCCTACTCGTTAAATTCATTAATAGCAGCAAGCAGATAATCAATTATATAGTAGCTATATAAGTTCTATATCGCATTTACTTTGGGCAGGTAAACGTGCCCAGGAAATCATTTGTGTTTACACCTGCATCGGTCTGATGATCATCAATTTGGCCCTGATTGCGAAACACATGCGTCTGGAGCGCATCAGCGTGGCCTTCATCTCTGCATTGTGTGGCATTATAACGGCCGACTTTGCCTCCGGACTGGTCCATTGGGCAGCAGATACCTGGGGCTCTGTGGATTTACCCATAATTGGCAGGGTAAGACTGAAAACTTGACTTGAGCATTGGAACTGTTAATCGAATCTATCATTTATATATTTCTAGAACTTTTTGCGACCCTTTCGTGAACACCATCTGGATCCGACTTCAATAACACGTCACGATTTCGTTGAGACAAACGGGGATAACTTTATGGTTGGCATACCCATACTTGGCTATTTGGCGCACTATTTTTACATAAAGACACCGTACGAAATACAACAGAATTTCGGCTGGATCGCTTATGTATTTCTATGCTCCATATTTGTGGCTATGACGAATCAGGTGAGACCAGGCAGGAATCTACAATTATTAATTTCAAAAGAAAGTCAGTTAAAGTAAATTTGGTATGAACTTCCGTTTGGTTCTATATGCGCCCTTAAGAGCCGTTTCTGAATAATTATGGGATACCTAAATCTGAATAATTAATAAGAAATAAGCTTACATGCCTTACCATTATAAGAAATATAACTAATATCCGTTTACTATTCCTTTAGATACACAAGTGGTCGCACACGTATTGGGGCCTGCCACGATGGGTGCTGTTGCTCCAGAACTGTCATATAATTCTGCCGCGCAAGCATCATCGCATTCATCATGTGGCGCCGCACGAGACTTACTTCTGCATAACCACCGGCTGGCTGAATTGGCCACTGGAGCAGCTTAGGTGAGTGCCTTGAAATACTTGATAAATTTACAAATTCAACTAACTTTTCGATTCTTTTAGATTTTGGTCAAGGTTTGAGTGTATTATTGAACGCTTTACTGGCTTAAAGCCGCGCGACGATGACTTGAAATGGGCTAAGAAACTGACATAGCTATGCCTTAGCCAACTGTATATAAAACTTGGACCAAGCAGCGTTAATTATAAAGCTTTGCCAACTATATGAAACTAAACCAAAAACAAAAAACCATTGAGAGCAACAAAAGTCGTTTGCTACAAAGATTACTTTTTATTTTTCGCAAAAAAAAAAAGGAGAATTATATTGAAGCATATAAATAAGGTTAACTAGTTTATATTTATGCTGTCCAAAGAAAATTACATAGTTTTTAGTTAAAAGAGAAAGTTTGTTAAAGAAAAAGAAATAGTTTTGTTAAGTAATATTGTATTGTGTAATGTTGATTCATGTATTTGTTTATAGACCCGCACATGCATAACGTACATTGATCTCGGTACTCATAAAATGTTACAAAGAAATATACAACGAGTGAGCCTTATCTACGTATAGATAGTATATTGTATATGATAAATTTAAAACTAGCACACACACAGGCACAAAGAGCTTGTTTCAATTGTTAGTGAAACGTTTTTTTAAATCTTTACAAATACACCAACTGCTTTATTATGGCAACAATTTTGATACCCAAATATAAAAAACAAAAAGAAAAACCATTTTCAATACACCTCAACGGCTTCAAAGGCTATTTACGTGAAGATAAATAATTATATATTTATATTTAAATATATATATAAATGAACTAGACGCTGTATGCAATCAAGAAAGTGACTTACATATTTGCCTTATAAACAAATGACTTTAATTATATTATACTAAAAATACCAAAAGACAGTGAACAATTTTATTTTAAAGAAGCTAAGCAACTTTTTTAGTGCGCACACATTTTTAATAATTTAGTGCATAAATTAATAAATTAGTATTAGCAATTAGAAAACTTCTGCTATGGGATTATGTAAAGCAAACGGCAGGCCAACTATATGTATGTATGTGTGTATTATAAGCCTAAGCCAGCTAACTTTGTACTTGTACTTTTTGTAAACAGAAAGAAAAAAACACTTTTTATATATGTATATACATAGAAATATATATGTATGTACTTATATCATTTAAAACGCCTGACAATGTCCTGGAGTGCTGAAACAAGTTTTGCATAACAAACTAATTATAAGTGAGCAATATTAATTGTGATTAAAAGAAAACCCAAAGAGTTAAGCTGATAACGAAATGTGTTTTCAATTGTTAGTAATTTAGTTTATTCACAGTTTAGACACATTCACAAAATTTCCCAAGTATGCAATTCGTTGAGATAACAAAAACAACATCAACGTGCTGCATACTTGGCATTATTTTGTTGTTTTTTTATACCCTGAACCCATTGAAAATGGGAAATCAGGGTATAATGGTTTTGTTA